TGTCTGCCAGGGAACCCAGCAGCTGTCCCAGCACGGCGGCAACGGTGGCTGCAACAAGAGTGATGCTTCTGCAATAGCTTGTCACTCTCTGGTAGTGCTGGGTGCTGACGACACTGTAGATGTAGGCGTAATAGGCGACCTCGCTGGCTGTCACCATCCCGTAGAAGAATTCCACCACCTGCATGGCCACCACGCCGTGCGCGAAGAGGAGCAAGAGCCACGTGACGATCAAGCTGATGCCCTGGAGGAGGAGGATGGGCTTGTAGCGCACATAGTCTGTAACCAGGAAGACTGGGAAAAGGAGTGCAAGGTAGGAGTATGTCCAAACTGGGAGAATCTGGTTGGTTACCTAGAAGAGAATAAAAGAGGAAGTATTTTTTAAAAACACATGAAAAATTTTGGTTTTGAAGCTTTTTGATTATGACTTTGGAGGAACGTCGTCGTGGTGACAGGAAACATTGAATTGTGTGAATTGTACAGACTTAAACGGGCTCAAATAATGAAACTAAATGTACTCCCTTAGAGGCAAAGATAATGATGCTAGGCTCAACTATACAGACAGGTAGATTGGCTTTAGAAGTAATTCTAGTAAAGACCTAAGAAGAGGGCAGATTTTGATGTGCAGCTGTTCAAAATGGTTATAGCAGTGGTTATAGCAGTGTTTGTGTCCGAGGAAAGTCTGTCTAGCACCAAATCCTGTTCCCCACAGTAGCTGAAAATGAATGCCTATTGAGTTGTAACTTCTGCATGAGTCATTGTATACCTTTGGTCATCTGTCCTTTGTTAGGATTAGGAAAAACTGCACGTGTCTCTTATGGTGGGGGAACTGGAACTGCGTGTAGGAAGCATGTAGCTGTTGCTGTGTTATTTTCTCCTTATAAGTTTTCAAATTTGATGTGTAAGAAGTAAGCAAGTCTTTGATGGAACAGTGTCTCGGGAAGTTTCAGTTGGCCTTCAATGCATAGATGCTCTGAAAATAAATTCTCTCTCTTTTCCTAAAACTCATCCACATTTAGATTGGAAGGTGCTGTTTACTGTTGCCAGCGAAGCTCAGTGCTTCCTCAGGCAGCTTGACTAAAGCTGTAGCGGGGGCATCCGCTTCTCTTGGATACAGTTGTAGAAAAAGTTCACTTTGTGCAAGTTGCCTAGTTTGGGGAGGTCTTGTCCACTAACTGCTGGACCTGCTAGGGTGTCTGTTCACCATCACTCACTCTCTGCTTAAGCAGTTAGACTGGAAAAGAATTGTTTCAAATGCTGGAGGAGCAGTAGTAGGTGGTTATATCCTGATCTGGTGCTGGAGTGAGCTGCATGGTGAGCAGCAGGTTCACTATATCGTTCTGGGTGACTTCTTTCTCTGAAATTTAATTAGAATTTTTAAGTGTTTGACTAAAACTTACGGAATGAGCTCACCAAAAGTGAGTTTGGCTGAAAGAGCCAGTATCTGTACTATATTTGAGTTAAGGATTCTTGCTAATATCAGAATTAAGGCATCCTATCATGCTATTTGTTTGTCTTGTTTGAGAGAAAATTGGCCTTTGTGGTTAAAAAAAAATTATGAAGAGGGGCGAGAAACCCTCAACAACCCAAACTACAAATACCTGTCTTCAGAAGAGCCTTTGGGTTCACACTATGCTGGCAGATTCTGCCTTAATATTTGCTACTGCACATCAGGAATGGCTGTTCTTCGTCCTAGCTGTATGTGGGTGTACCAAGCTTGTGTTTTCTAATTATACCATTAGCTCCATGACTCAGCCATTTGTTCACTATGTCCCCTTTTGTTCGGAAGTGTGTTCCTGAAGCAACCAGTGCTGAACAGAGGAGCAGAGCAAGGAGACTTGCAGCACGTGCTTTTGTCAAAAAACAAAACAAAACCCAGACCTTTTGAATGTGAATCTGACCTCCACAGGTTAAGGAATACATAAAACAGCCCTGAAATGCAGGTAATAGTCTAACAGCTCATAAGGAGAATTCTGCTTGACTTTCTTATGATTTGCAATCGCTATGTCACTGTCGGTGTAAGCAATTCCACGATAGGTATAAATGAATCTTAGTGTTGCCCCTCCTCTGGGCTTCTCTGTGGGGAGAGGAACCAGCTGACATGATTTTGCTGAACATACCAATTTCTTAAACAACAAACAACTAAAGTTGTTTCGAAGTCCTAAGAATGTAGGGACTTTAAAGTTTTGATCTTCTGCAAAGAGGTGACTTCTTACGCCTTTCCAGAAGCTCTTAAATGTAAGTCTCTAGATAAAATATATCTCTATTATTGAACACTTCATCTCCCCTTGAGTTATTGCTGTAAGGTTTAATGATGTAAGCATTTTAGTTATTACTTAAAAATTAGTTATGTACCTCTTCAATCGTTAGGTTTTTGTCTGGTCCGGTTAGGTAAGGAGTGAGAAAAGATTCTGATGGCCTCATGGTGGAGAAAAATCCATTTGCACAGGTGATCAGCGTGGGATAAATCCAGCTGCGGCCTACGGCTCCCTTCCAGCAATCCATAGGCTACCTGAAAAAAAAAAAATTGGTAGTGAAGAAATGAGCACACCAGAAATTTTATAAAGGTGCTCTTCACAGGTAGTAAAAAGTAATTTGTAAGTTTACTTTTTAACTAACCCTACTTCAGCTACTGTTTCTCTCACTAAAGCTGGCGGTGATGACAGCTACAGCTTGTAAATGAACGACTTGGATCAAGGTGCAGCGGTGGTGGCAAACTCCAGGCTCTGTGCTGGCTGTCAAAGGTTGTTTTAATAGCGCACTTAGAACTGAGCGGATGTAGCGGAAGAATAAAGTTCCATTACAGTCTCATTTCTGAATAAATGAGTGGGCAAACCGTGAGATTAAAGCTGATTCTTGGCATGCTCAAAGAGGCTTTTTTCTGTTGACTTGCAGCCTGAGAGCCAAGCGGAACAACAGAAGTGCAGGCCTTTTTGCAGACAGTAAAAGCCACCAGCCAGCTCACAACCCATCACGAGCTCGGTTTCTTCAGAATGCTTTAATACTCCTCAGATTTCCTGCAGTCATTTGAGGGGCAAAGAAAGAGGCAGAAACTGTCTGCTCGTAGTACCTGCTCAGACTTAGGAAAGAGCAATCTCGACTTTTGCTTTTGAAAGAGATAATCAAAAGGAAAAGAATGAGACTTGTTTCTTCACTGTGGTTGGCAGCAAACAGAAATCTAAAGAGATTTGGTTTTTTAAAGCTTATTTTACTTGTTTTGTGTTTGAAAGTCAATTCCACTGTTCCTGGAAAACAAGGGAAACAGAGAAGGAAAGCAAAGCAGTGACTGACGTTTATTCAACCTGTAACAAGCTATTTCTTTTAAATTGTTGAATTCCATTTTATAGCAGGCACTTTTTCAAAAGTGCTTCTGCTTGCACTGTGAGATTGTTTTTATTAAAACTTAGCATAAATAGTATGTTAAGGCAGTATTTCTGAGATCTCAGAGGAAGGTTACAAAAATCAGCCCTAACCTTGAAACTGGATTTTAAATTATTGTCTCTGAATATCATCTTTCTCTTACAAATAATCGTTTATAAAATATAACCTGTATTATCCTTAACTCTAGATTGGCTTTGAAATATTTTGATATCAGTTATCTTTTCAAAATAAAATTATATTAAACCCTGGACTGATCATTAACATCAGCATAAATCTTGCATCACTTCCAAATGCACTGAGCAAGTGAGCGGCCAGCGCACTTCCAAATAACTCCGAAGGCAACAAATTACCTGTCAAAGCTGTGGCTGTGGTGTGTTTGCTGTGGGTTCGTGTGCAGTTTCCTCCTAGGATGACTTCCTGTCCTGTAGAAGAGAAGTCAGAAACCACCTTTTAGAATTGGAGGTAGTAAGAAATTTCTGTGTCTTTTTGTTTCCTAAAGGTTCTTTCTCAACTTGATAAAATGTTAACAGAATTTAAATAATAATAATAATTCATCGCAGCTCTTCTTGCTTGCCAAGCTTGTCCATGAAGATTGCAGGGGAAGCTTTCTCCTCTACAGGTTTTGTCAGCAAACCAAGTTCTAATTTTATGGTAAAGCTTTAAGACCCGCTTTAGCTAATGATTAATAAATACTGACATGGCAAGAAAGTAATCACTTGATTGCATTTTTGTGTTAATGAGTACCTTTGAGAGTCTGGTGTCCGATTCGGGGATAGGACACAGCACCCCTTTGAAAGTTTGGGCTGACACTGACTGTCCCCTATGCAGAGCACAGGAGCCTCGGGGCTCACGGGGAGGCTGCCGACTGTCCTGGCTCTGCTGGGGGTGTGGGGAGGTAGGGCGAGGACTACTACGTACTATTAGTTGGCCAGCAATTACTTCTGTATAAGGACCAATCGGTCACTTAAGGGCAAATGGACAAACAGATAAGAAGTTTCTAAGCTAAAAAATCCAAACAGAACTGCTTCAGGCAAACGCTGTTTTGCTTTCCTTTACCCAATTTTTTTAGAGTGGACTCCCTATTTTTTCCAAGGTCCATCTGAGGAGGGTGTTGACCCTGAAGCTGTCAGTGGGGTGTGTGTTGACACTGGGAGCAAATGCTGTGGCCCTGGCAGGAGGGGCCCCACATGCTACCCAGAGCAGCTCTGCGAGCTGGGCAGAGCCTGGTCTTGTTCTACAGGCATGGAAACTTCTCACACCGCTTCTAGTGTGCGGTGCAACCAGGCAGGCAAGTGCTCAGGGAAGCCAGGCTTGCCTCTGCCTCCATGTTTCATTTGCTTTCTTTACCAATGGCTTCGGAGAAAGGAAAATAACCATGGGGAAGATGCTGCTGGGTAGGTCTACTGGCCTGCTGAAAGCTGGCTGCTGACTGGCATTTCTCAGGTAACCCACACAGGGCTTGGTTAATTCCTGCTTGCTCTGAATGCAAAGATATACTTTATTTGCTGCCTTGTTGGCCAGAACTGGCCTTACCAGCTTGCTGGACTGTTTCTTCGCTTGTGCTCAAACCCACGGATGTTTCAAAGGCAGCTAGTGTTGTATTTGGATACGGTTGTAGCTACAGGGAACCATGTGCTTAGCTCTGGGTTTTCATGTTTGCGTGGAATCCTTTGACATGCTGGGAGAAAGATAAGTACTTAATGCTAAAAGCTGCAAGGAGAGGTGGATTTGTTTGGAGTTTGCTTTTTCTGCAGATCTAGAGGGCCTGTGGTTGCAGCCTTGCCCATAACCTGCCAAGCCTTAACTATCTCCTCTCCAAAGAGCGTGTGTGTACACACAGGTGGGTGTGTGCCTCTTACTGTTTTGGAGGAAATCTCTGATCGCTGAGTTAATACCGATTTGCGGCTGAAAATGCAGGGTAACATAAGCCCTTACCTTTCTCTTGTTGTTGTTTTCGCCTCCAGTATGTCACATCCTTCCTAACGCTCCTAAGAGCTGCCCTCTTCCTTCCCTGTTCCCCACCCCCTGAAATGCTCCCCCAAAATAGGATTTTTTTTTTTTTTATCTCTTATCTGTTTCCTGAAGATGGTATTCTCAACAGCTGAAAACCAAATACATTGTGTCTGCTTGGTTTTTTTTGCTCCTCAGTGCCCTCCCATATACATCACAGGCAGTGAGCTCCAACCAGTTCAGAAACAAAGAACTTTTATGGTTATTTCTACAAGTTTTTCTAGCTCCTTTCCTGCAGCTTACTACTGTTGTTATTTTTTTTTTTAATAGCAGGAAGTTTCATGTTGCTGATTCCTTTCCTTTTGCCAGACACTACATAGAGAGAAACATTTGTTAACTTTCTGTACCAAAGGCAGTTTGAGACCATGGATCTGGAAATACCAAGTTCTTCTTCTTCATTTAAACATGAGCTCTAGTTAGCTGCCAGTCCAGGACTCGCATCTAGTTCTTTAACTAAATGCCTCAAAACAAGATTCCTGCTCATGAGGAAAAGTAACACAAACACACACACAAAAAAATGTCCTTGCTCTACAGGACTTTGTCCCAGTTTCTTCAGGCAGAAATATCATGCCCTCAGTTCTGCAGTAATAAAAGATATTTACTGTTTTGTGTGGAGACTAAGTATGTCTCCCATTTCTACAAATGCATTGATAAAGACGTTCTCCTTAGAGCCAGCTTACAACAGAGAATGTCCACACCATGCACAACAGTAAACAAAAAGGCTAGAAAATTAGCTGGGTGCATTTGGTCAAATCCCGCCAATTCTTCTTGTGACTTGAAACAAATCGCTTCTCTCCTGCCTGCTCTCGCCTCTGGGCAGTTTGTCTAGTTGCAGTGTGTGACAGTTGTTTGAAAAGCACATATTTCTGTACAAATGATAGCTTGTGTCTCTACAGGAAAAATATTATTCTGTAAATGCTAAGTATTTTCTATTTTTATTAGTTAGGTGGTAGGTATTGGAAGCTGAAAGCAAACAGAAGTACAGAAATAACTTCAACATATGGACACAATTTATATTCAAATAGGCATTCACTATGCAAGCTCATTTATGGTCTTTTTTCTTCTTCTGGACTAACTGTCCTTTTTGCTGGACTAAATTAGCCATAGGACTTGAAGCTTCTTGATGAATTCTGAGATGCTCACCCTGCCAAATCCTTGGCTAAGATCAGTGGGCCTCCTCGTTTGGCACTCAAAAGCACACATGATGCTAGCTTTTTGTTTCTTATATGTCTTCTGGGATATTCGTGTTAACCTGGAATTTTCCTGTGCAGAATCAGCCAAATTTCTCTACAAAGTATTTCTCTGGTCTTAATCCATACCACTCAATCCCTTTGATATTTTTTTCCTTTCCTGTTGAGACAGGAAGACACTGAACTTCATTTCACTGGGCGTGCTAGGAAAGGAATGGGGGTCTTTAATTTTGTTTTGACTGCAGTTTTTCCCTTCTGGGCTGAGATTGCTATGGACTCAGTACAGTGTTTAGGTTGCAGCTTTCAGATGTGGGCCAAACAATGATCATGGCTTAGCAGTGTTTTAGTGAACCTTGTCAAATAGCTTGTGCAAACCCCGCTTTTCTGCACCATGGAGTGCAAAAGCCCTGCTTCTCAAGTGGGCTTTTAAATCGGAAGGGAAGTGTCTGTCATTGAATTGCCTGTAGTTAGGTAGAGAAGAATATCATGATGTGCAAGCGGAGTCCCTTCTTCCTTGGTTCGGAATAAGGCATGTGCAAAGCAGGGACAGACCCTTCACCCACATGCATGAGCAAATGTGTGTGGAAGCAGCTTGCCAACACCATATACAAGAGCTAGAACAAGCAAGGCACCAATCTTTGCTATCGTGCACGGTGGGATGCAAAGCTGATTGCTCTGCTCTTGTGTATGAATTAAGTTAAGCTATTTGTAGGCAAGTAAATAAGAATCTAAAGCAACTTATTTTTTCTTCTTGGCACAGTGGCATTCTGATGATCTCTTAGCTGGCATGTGCTGTAATTCAGCGTAGCTTTTCAGGGCTGTGCTGCAGGTTCATCTCGCGCTGCTGATCCCTGCATGCTGCAGTAGGAGCTCTTCTACCGCAAGGGCCTGGCCACGTGTGCCAGACTCCTACAGCCACGTTGAGTACCCAGTTACAATCTGCTCTTTTGATTCTTGTTCAGCATGGTTCAGATGCCCTTTGCAAGATCTTGCTATTTTCCTTTTGCATTTGCTTGAGACAAGCATGCAAATGCTTCTGATCAAGAAAATCCCAGCTATGACTGCAAAGTAGCTGCCATAAATTAAAAACTGGGAGGGGGAGAGAAAAAGGCAGAAGAATTAATGAATTAATGAAAAACACTTCAAGGAAACACTGCTGCTTCTGGAGATGACAGACACTCTATTATTTTTATTTGTGTTCTGGCACAGTTTCTCTGTGTTCAAGGTTTTGCTGTGTAATTAAGAAAAATCTTAGCTTTTCCAGCAAACACCAGATCTGTGAGGAATGAAGAACTACCCCTTGCTTCCAATTCTTATGTCTCTTAATAAACATCAGAGGGGGGAAGGGATAGGAACAGGATTTTTTTTTTTTCTATTAGGGCAAAATGTAGAGGTAGCATCATTACCCCCATAGTCATGAACAGTGTAGGTGAAGAGTCTGAGTTGGTCCTTTTTTGCTCTTACTTGCACATTTCAGTGCTGTCACCACACTGGCTTCAGTAAATATATCATGCCTTTGTATTAATATTTCCAACAGCAGTGGCAAGGCTATTTATGAAGTCCTACACATTCCTGTCCTTGATTTTAAAGTTTTAATTTTTAGTGTTTACTTCAATTTTTAATCTTAAGTAACCTTTGCCTTCTCTGTGCAGAATATCTGAATAGCTTTAGTCTTTGAATCCATAGGAGTAGGAAGCTGCCCCAGCTGAGATCCCATCTGAGAAAAGGCAGAAGTCAGTACATTTCAGTTGACTCCAACATGAGTGGAATTGGGCTGACTGACGTCAGGGACGCTGTTGTGAGAGAGGATATCCCACTGCAAATTAAGTGCCCAAACTATGGGCAGAAAACTCTTATTATTCATGCTGAGATACAGACCAGGTTTGCCCCTGAGCTGGAATTAGAAGGCAGGTGTCCTTGTCACCTGAGCTGGAATAACTCCAGTAATCCGGGCTGTGTTTTATGGTCTCGAACTCCCTTAACAACGTGTGGTCATGTTGATTCTGCATCTCAGAAAACCAGCCTGAATTTTTGGGCGGAGAGGATGTTATTCAGTGTCCTATTAACCAGCAAAAGCTAGTCAGATAGCAGGGCCTGATGATTTATGTTCTGATGTATCTGTCTTTAAGAAGTCAAAGACCAGCATCTGTAATCCTAAATGCTGCACTAAAAGGCAAAAGGGAAGAATGATAGCGGACACAAGGGAAGAGCAAGATATCTAGATTTCTTTAGAAGAAAGAGGGAATTAAATTGCCCTTTGGCATAGCAATTTCTTTCTTGGTAAACTTTTGAAGGTGAATTGGCTAAGGAGTAAATGGGAAGTAAGTTAACAGCACTTACCTGAGTCACTATGTCCAGTCCCAGGCCTTTTGAATCCACAACCACTACTGTAAGAATGGTCTGAATCACCAGTGCAATGAAGTTGTTGAATCCAAACATCAAGGCGTAGCGCTCCATGCTCAGATTGACTGCAATCTGGAACCTAATGCGAGACTGGCAGGTCAGTTACTTCTCACTGGGTGTAAGGTTGTTCCTCTCCATTTAGCTGATGGAGAGAACTGATTCATGTAGATGATATATCAAGGATGGAGCAAATGGTGCTTTGTTTATTTGTTTGCTTCTCTGTTTGCTCTAAACAAAGTCTTGAAAACTACAGTGTGTTTTGATGGGTTTTTTACTTGCCGGTGTTGCTTTTCTAAGCCATGTTCTCAGGTGACCTGCTTTATCCAGTTAGGAATCACATCTTTTTAATCATCCCCTTTGTTTTTTCTGTACCTTCACAGACTGTGTCAGACAGGTTGTAAAGACTCCATGGAGGCTTTGAAAGATGTGGCCAGGCAAAACCATGACCTAATCTAGCACTGGCAGGAATTACAATGATAGAATCATAGAATGGTTTGGGTGGGAAAGGACCTTAAAGATCATCTAGTTCCAACCACACTGCCATGGGTAGGGACACCTTCCACTAGACCAGGTTGCTCAAAGCCACATCCAACCTGGCCTTGAACACTTCTAGGGAGAGGGCAACCACAGCTTCTCTGGGCAACCTGTGTCAGTGCCTCACCACCCTCATAGTAAAGAATTTCTTCCTTGTATCTAATCTAAATCTGCCCTCTTTCAGCTTGAAGCCATTACCCCTTGTCCTATCACTCCATGCACTTGTAAATAGTCCCTCTCCAGCTTTCTGGCAGGCCCCTTCAGGTACTGGAAGGCCGCTCTAAGGTCACCCCGGAGCCTTCTCTTCTCCAGGCTGAACAGCCCCAACTCTCTCAGCCTGTCCGCATAGCAGAGGTGCTCCAGCCCTCTGATCATTTTTGTGGCCTCCTCTGGCCCCATTCCAACAGGTCCATGTCTGTCCTGTGCTGAGGGCTCCAGAGCTTGACAGAGGACTCCAGAGTTCAGCTCTGGCTGGGATGTTAGACTGGAAGGTCACCGTGAGTATCTTCCAACCAACTTTTCTATGATGATGTGAATCACTTCTTGCTTTGTGGCTTGACAGTGGAGGTAGCATACCATTTATTTCTGCCAAGAGCCTGCAGATTTGCCTTGAAATACCTTTTTTGACAATAATTGGAACATCTTTCCTTGCAATATTTACCTCCAAAGTTTCTATCATCTGAACAAATGTGTGTTATTCCTGCAGCATTCTTTTAATTGATTTTTATCAGGGCTTTTTTTATGCAAGCTTTTACTTTTGTTTTTGATAGAATATGTTGAAGCAGTCCAGGTGTGATCCACTACAATGTACTGACAACACACCATAATGAAAATAGAGGATTTTCTTGGCTTCATTCAAGGTAGGCATAATTTTGTCATGCATTATAATTTTAGCAGGTTTTTGAAATTAATCTGAATAATTTTGGGGTTTGACATAAAAAATCATTGGGTATTTTTGCTAATCAAATAGTATAGTATGTCTAGAGACATTCCTATCAAGAAAATAATTGGAGTAATAAAAATGTTTTATATTTATTACACAGATTACAGATTTTTAATTTGTATTATATTTATACCTCTGTTTCTGACAACAGAAACAGGTCTGCTAAGAGATCTTGTCTGAATTTATATGTCCAATGTTGTCTTTTATTCCTTTTGTACACCATAATATCATTAAGGATTATACATATGAAGTTATGTTGGAGAACATTCTGTTGCAGATCTTTTCTTGCATGCACACAATTTGTAACTTGCTAACAAGTATATCAGCAAGGTGGTCTAGACATAAGGGGATCTTAAAGAATGGTTGTCTGCGCATGCTCTTCCCTGTTGTTCACTTTGCCTCTTCCATGCCAGCAAGGAGGAATATAGCTTATATGTTTTGCTGTTACTATTGCCTTTAGTAAGAACGATACCTTGCGTCTTGTTTAACTTCTGCCTAGGTATATGTTCAATGTCCTTTGATAATTTTTCTTTTATGTTGTTCAGAAGAACGAAAACAGCATAACTAGACATTTAAGTGTCCTTGTCTTTTGATAAACAGTTATGTCTAGCATTAGATCAACTTTAAATATTGCTGGTGTTCTGTGCATAATGGCAGCACTGTAAGGTTTTATACTTACGTTGCTATTGTTATGAGGAGCATATAGCATGCTTTGAAAATGAGATAGCCGGCGTAACATGCCCAGATGCTGGTAGTGAAGTGCATAAGAAATAGACAACCAGCGTCTATTGCAGAGAAGACCCCTAAAGCCAGTTCTCCAAAAAGGTCCCAGTTAATTTTCATATATTGTACTACGAAAGACGTTACCGAGCCTGGAAAAAGACAAAAAAAAACATGTGAATGTTGTAGCTGTTCTATAGCCTGTATTGCCAAGTCTTGGCTGAAAGGCAATGCTGAATAATGAAGCAGAGCAGTCCTGAAGCATTTGAAAGCATTTTTAATCACTTCTGAAGTTGTGCAGATGACTGGTCACTTTTAGACAACTGCATGAATCAAGTCTCTGCCATTCCGTTCTTAATGTTTCATTCCACTTCACAGGCTAAACTGTCATGTAGGGGGATTCATTATTTAGCTGTCTGTACCCAGTATGTATCTCTAGGGAGAGAATTAGGAACATGGTTTGCAGCTCAAGAAGAACAATCCTTCCAGCTTCTACTAGCTTACTTCATAGATAAGCTAGTAAACAGTTACCTTCTAGCTTAACAGTGTAGCTCTGTGCAGCTCATAAAGGGGCTAAGCTGTCAAAAAAGGGAGTTTTGTGAGGTATCAAGTGAGTATATTCAGGGAAATGAGAAAGGATAGGCGTTGTTTGCTTTTGGTGGGCCTGCTACAAAGACGCACCTGTTGGGAAGGTAAGCCACCTGACTATCCATCTCAGGGGTCTCATAATATTTTGAAACTTCTACACCTCTACATTGAGAATTAGGCAATTCCATGAGAAAGAGGAATTCATCAAGGGGTAGACGCTATGGGAGTTAAGTGCTTCTAATTTGTGATTCAGTTGTTCTATTTAACTGCCTACTTCAAGACGAGAGTTCTTTGTAATCTCGGAGGTATCTGTTTCTCCTTAATGACTGCAAGCGTAACCTGAATGACCAGGTACGATGTAGACATGCTTAATTTCCCTGGTGGATCACACCCCAATGTCTTATGCAAGTTCTCTACAGCAGCACAACATGAGTATGTGAAACACTATGAAGTCAGGGAGGCATCCTCTGATGCACCTTTTGATACCATTACTTTGATTATGTGGTGTGGACATCTGCTTCCGGTGCAAAAGCGTAATGGTTAACATCAGTAGCGTACTGAATTCAGTAAGGTCTTTCTGCAGATCCCCTTATTTGGAATGACTACAATTCTTCTTTTCCTCCTGCTGCAGAAGAGTATTTCACTAGAGCAAGATCTTAATGAAAGAGTTATATTATTTGTGTAAAATACTTACGAAAAACTCTCATCTGCATAAGCCGATACCATTGTTATGGGAACTGTGTGATACTTGCTTGGGGATAAAAACCCCAGCAACCTCATCAGAAGAAACGTGGGTGCCTCTGAATGGATTTAGCAGTTGGATGCAAGGTCTGTGTGACCTGTACGCTCTTTGCATACTGGTAGGATAAAGTTGGGTGTTCCAATCATAAAGAAAAACATCATAGCTTTCAGTTGGACTGTTTTGTATACCAAAGAACTAGCTTTTGAATGCACAATGCATACACTGTCTTCCTGGAGCATCTGCAATAGAAGGGCACTTTAAAAATGTCCTAAAGGAAAACTTTAGAAGCTGCCTTTGTGATCGATGCTTAGACACTAACTTACTCAGAAAAGTTGCTACTGCTTCAACAGCTCCGTTGTACACTGCAGAGCTGTGGGAGGGGGCTCTGAAGTCCCACAGCACTTGGATATAGTTCAGAACCTGGTTAAAGCCTGCCGTAGCCAGAGCCCACCACAGGGACCAGTACAGAAGTTTCCTCGAGCTGTAGCAGTCCCTCAAGTCCTTGCTCAGCTGCACCAGTACTCTGAGCACGTGATTCTGGGGCTTGGCATTGTCAGCCGGCTGTTGAGGTGCTGGGCCCCTGTCAGCAGGCACGGAGCCCTTCTCCTCTTGGCAGCTCGACGGCACGGGTGGCTGCAACAAGAGTGATGCTTCTGCAATAGCTCGTCACTCTCTGGTAGTGCTGGGTGCTGACGACACTGTAGATGTAGGCGTAATAGGCGACCTCGCTGGCTGCCCCCATCCCGTATAAGAATTCCACCACCTGCATGGCCACCACGCCGTGCGCGAAGAGGAGCAAGAGCCACGTGACGATCAAGCTGATGCCCTGGAGGAGGAGGATGGGCTTGTAGCGCACGTAGTCTGTAACCAGGAAGACTGGGAAAAGGAGTGCAAGGTAGGAGTATGTCCAAACTGGGAGAATCTGGTTGGTAACCTAGAAGAGAAGAGGATATCTCAGTGGTGTTATTCTTGGTGAAAGGAAATTAATTTATTTTAAATGGCTTTGTAGAGGGAAGTTTTTGCTCTGAGGAAATTCATAAAATATATAACCACACTGAAGTGGCATGTTACTGTTGAGCAGGCAAATGGATCTTAAATCCATTAAATGGATGTTTTATTTATGCCATCTGCTGAAAATTTTAACCTGCTAAAGCTGATTACAGTTGTGCTTTTTTGGTTTGTATATTTGTTTAAAAAACTTCGTTTAAATTTTTACTTTGTTTTTGCTGCTCCATATATAAGCAAAGGCAGAGTAAAACCATACCTCATCTATGGTCAGGTTTTTATCTGGTCCTGTTAGATAGGGTGTTAGGAAGGGTTCTGATGGTTTCATCGTGCAGAAGAATCCATAGAGGCAGAGGATCAGGGTGGGAAAAGTCCAGGTGTTGCCTTTCTCTTGCTTCCAGCAGCCCATGGTACCTGTACAGGAAAGCCAAGGAGGAAGTTTGTTAGAAGGATGATATTGCCCACGTAAGCACAAAGACATCTTGTGATTGATTTTTATTTTGTAGTTTCTAATGCTAAGGAGTGCTCTTTAGAGATTGGCAGTTGGAAAACATTTTTCTTCATAACTTTAAAGGGAACAGCTTTTCCTTACATTTATCTGCTGTTTCTCTGTCTTTGTAGATAGTGTGTAAAGAATGACTTGGAAGATCTTTACCTGAGAGACAAATTACACTGTCATTCAATCTGCACTGACCAAGCTAGCCACAGGAGAAGCCTTTCTAGACAACAGTTGCTGAAGACAGCTGAGCACTGAGATTTCACTTGACACCTTGACTGATCACAGCCAAGCACCTTGTTGAATGTAACTAGTTCACAATTGCTGTTTTTTTTCTTCCTCACCTCCTGGATGTGCATGGCTTTCCTGTTACGAAGAGCTGGTGACTCTGGAACCTACCAAATGAGAGTCGCTAATAAATACAGAAAGCAAGGATGTCAAGCTAGGTCCTCAGCTGGAATTAATTGCATCGGAAGTCCAGTTTGGAGACAGACATCCTATTTTCAATCTATAAAAAAATTTGTGGTCACCGAAGGTAGCAGTTCACACTAAAATGAAATGAAGCAAATATTTTTGTTCTTGTCTGTAGCTGAGACTTTTGGAATAAATGAAACTTTGCAACTCTGCTGGGCAGAGTCCAAAGAGTAGTCAAAATGGATGTTATGGGGGGCATGCAAAGGAATCAGTAAGTTGTACCCCACATTAATGTTGGTATAGGCAATGTCAGGAATCTAAAAGCATACAGCTTCTCTTTTGGAGCCCTCTGGAGGGTTAACAGCTTGTTAACTGCTGGGATTTCTGTCACTCTGCTTTTGACTTTACCTATTTACCTCGTGAGAACTTTTTTTTCAGGCAATAGTTTTAATCTTAAAAATGAAGTATTTTGCAGGCAGCGTTTTTCCTCAACATTTTTTTGTAAAGGCTGACGAAAGATGTCTTCCAAAACAGCCAAAAATATTCATGTACCTGTTGACTGCATCACTCCAGATTGGATGGGCACAGAATCCTTTTACAAGGTGTGATATATAATGTACAAGGCAGCAGGCATTATGCATCTTCTTTTCTAACTTCACACCACGATAGCACACGTTTCTAATGGCCTGGTGCACTGAGAAACGGGTGCAGATCAAAGGGACTTTGAGTTCTTTTGTTTTGTGCAGGACGGCTGATGCCACCGGCGCTCCAGCAGCAGCTGAGCTCTGTGCCAGCTCTGCAGTGCGAACGCTAGAGGGCAAGATGGTCCCAGCAAAGGGAGAACCTCCATGGGCGCGAGTGAGACGCGGTCAGGGTGCTCAAGCAAGGAAGCTTTTCTGCCCCTCCTTCCTCCCCAGGTGTTGCAACAGCTTCTCCTGCGAATGTGGCTTTGGCAGGACCAGTTCTGGCCCTGCCCAGGGTCGCACTCCATCACCATAACATGCCCTCACTCTCCTTTCACACAATAATCATTAAAGCCTTACAGCATCCGAATGCCACGTAAACGCTTCACACAACACCAAGAGGTTATGAGAAAGGCACCAAGAAGAGGAGGAAAGAAGAGCATCTCTAGCACAGCAGTGAAGAACACTTGTATACAATAGCTCTAGGACTTAGCCAGGTTATTTTTTTTTCCCTTTCCAGCCTAGATTTTCCGCTCCAGTCTGGTTCGGGTCTTGTCATGTTTTCCCTCCCCCTGTCAGGCTGCGTGACACAAAGGCAGCAGGTTTCATGGATCCTTTCAAAATGTCTGGCACCTTGGGAAGCGAGCGGGGCAAGCTGCTGTATTCCCAGGGCTCACAGGGCACTGTGGGCTGCACCTCTGCTGCTGCCCGTCTGTGGCAGGGCTCTGCCACCGCGTGCAGTAATTCCTGTTTTGAGCTATATACAGAACATCTCCGGGTGTGCCCTGGTCACTGCATCCCTCCAGTTCCAGCGCATGCAGCGTCTGGGGTTTTCTGCTAGACATGTACCTCTATTCTGTAGATTTCCTCTTTGAGGCACCTGTGGCTGCCTGGCAGGTAAGTCAGACAAGAAGTTCCCCAGCTGATTTAAGCAACTGTGCAGGAAAAACCTGCCCCTGGTGCTGAGGTGGGAAATGCAGTGGGCTGAGGGCTTGCAGGGGCAGTGGGAGGTGGGGGCTGCTCCCTCCACAGCGGGGTGCGCGCTCACCTCGCCCCGCAGCCCTTCGCCATCGGGGAAGGGCTCTGCCGGCTGCCGGTATAATTGCTCTTTCCTGCATTCATAACCATGAACCTCAGACAACGAAATCTGTACTTTGGTGCTTAAGGGGGAGGGATCCAACCTGTTCCCATTCGGCCATCCCTTATGGTCAATTTGTCTTTTACAAATCTAGGTTTTTCTTAACTTTTGGGAAGATAGTGGGATGCCTTGGTGTCACTCCGCAGCAAAACAACCCTCTGTTTCTTGTTTCCCCCATCAATTCTCGATTAGTGCTGGAGCTGTCATGGTCAATTTGTCTTTTACAAATCTAGGTTTTTCTTAACTTTTGGGAAGATAGTGGGATGCCTTGGTGTCACTCCACAGCAAAACAACCCTCTGTTTCTTGTTTCCCCCATCAATTCTCGGTTAGTGCTGGAGCTGTCAGCTCTTCTCCCACACAGCCTGACCCAGCCCCCCCAGATCCTCACTGACCCCTCTCTTCTTTCCCCCCTCTTTCTCTTGCCACTGCAGGATTTCTGATTTCCAAAGTTCATATAAAAACATACCTTGTCTGCTGGAGCTCTTCCTCTCTTACTTCTAAGGGAAAGGTCCCTTTTTAGTATTTCCAGTCTTTTTTCTGACTGTCCTGTGTGTATTGGTACTGGACTCTGTTTGGTTTTTATGCTTTTCCTGTTGTTCTGGTATTTCAGCTTGCTCTGATGACACCTCCTTTGAAAACATTTCCAGCTGGCTTTCCTTCAGCGCCTGCTTTCAGCACCCTTAAAGGAACATCAAGAGAATCCTGGCCTGTCCTTGCCCAAAAGCAGCAGTAAATCAAGACCAAAACTATGGTTTGGTGCTTGACTGGCACAAAAGCAATAGAGCTATTCCTGTTTCCAAAGAATTTTGCATGTTTGACAGGGTACGTGGCTTGGGACCCATCTGTGCCTCAAACTGGTCTATATTAAAGATGGAGCAATAGCTATGCGTGGGTAATGACAGAGACAAGGGAGAACAAATACCAGTGCTATAAGATTCAAAGGTTTCTCCACTAAATACATGGGGTTTCATACTGTTTTAGTAGGTTTAAAAAGTAAAACACTCTGTTCTGCTTCCCTTTAGTGTTGCTTGTAGCAATTTTCTCAGATCTTTTGCTTAGGCAGGTTCTGAAAGTCCTACTGAAGATGGAGATGATCCTACAATCTTCTTCAGAAGATACCGCAGGACTCAACAGTGAAGGATGCTACCGGAAATGTACAGATTTGCACAAAACGTATGTACCTAAGAATCTAGATCCACCCCCATCCCAGTCCCACAACATATAGGTCTGGAATGAAGGATATAGTAATCACTTAGGAATGTGACCAGTACAGTAGAAAATTATAAATTCATAAATAACAGTGAATTATCCCATAACTTCAGAGAAAGGCAGCTGCTTTGTTAACATAGAGTAAAATGGTACAGTAACTTTAGAATAGGGACATATGCATGAATAAGGAAAACATACAAAACTCCCTACTGGGTCAGATGAATTGCCCAGCTAGACCACTATTTTGCCTTCAGCCTTGGCCACATTTTGCAGCCTTTTCGCCTCCTACTCCTCAGTGCTCAAAGTTAGGGGATTGGTGATGACAGAGAGGTCATCCCTTACTGCTTTTATCATTTACTTGTTGACCTGTTGTCCATGAATGCATCTAATCCTGCCTGGGACACTGCTGTATACTTGTGCGAGCTTTTGTGATGTATATGAAACTATAATGCGTGAAAGGGATGCGGTAATTCCCTGTGGCACTTAGACAGTGACTGGTGGCTGGCAGACACTGATTCCAGAGCTATTTTGGTTCTAGTTCACTGCATGTGTATTGAACCTATAGCTATAGGAGGTGACAGCCCATCTGAGAGGAGGCTGTGTATACCTGCAATCAGTTCTCAAGGGCTCTTGCTAAAACACAGAGAACTTCTGTTGAAATGAACAGCATTACTCTGGGTTTGCATTGACTTAACTGAGCTAAGAATCCAACTCAAATTTCTCGGCACTGAAAAAAACCCCAAAAGTATGTGTTTTCCTGTAATGTAATAATGAGAAAAAATGATTTAAGTAGCTTCCAGTTACTGATGTTTGTTTTTTCTGCTTTCAGATGCTCTCTTAACTGTTCTTTCCACACTCTTTAGTCCATCTCTTTTGTATCTGAAATTTCACCCTTTCTCACTGATTCACATCTGAATGCCAAATGGAAGACAGTAAAACTATAATGGGCTTACAGAAGATTTTCACAGAATCACAGAATGTTCAGGGTTGGAAGGGACCTCTGTGGGTCATCTAGTCCAACCCTCCTGCCAAAGCAGGGTAAACTTTGGTTAACTTGAGCCCTATGTCATAAGCTGCCTGCAGCAGAGCATAGACACTAGTTTGAAGAGGACTGTGCTCTTTACGCTGAGTTTGGATGTACTCTGGTCGGAAGCAGAAATGTTTTTCTGCTTGAAGGGTGGGCTGGGGCATCTGTTTATACTTGGCATCCAAATTCTGTTCAGGTGGGAAAGGGAAGACTCTGTAAGACCTGCAGAAAAGGTGAGTTTTGAAGTAGTAGTGTATCCTAAAGAGTTAATGCAATATGGTATCTAATGCATCAAGGAGACAGGAACATCCTGAGAGAAGCGGAAGGAAAGGCAGTAAGAGAACAAGACTGTAAACCTCTGTCACCCTGGTACCTTCTGCCTCTGCTGCCCCTTGGGCTCGATCCTGGTATTCTCTCTGGTGCTTCACAGGATGGCATGAA